TCAGGCCTCCTTTATCGTTTCCATCAGGTTACATGTCTAAACTGAAATTTAGCACCTGGACTCTTTCTGTTGGGACATGTAATAATACATCTTCATTGTCTTGCTAAAATATTGAAGAACTTCTCTGAAAAAGATGCGAATGTCAGCAAACATTGCTCCATAATCTTTAAGTGTTGTTTAGCATTAATGGAGCCTTCACAGTAAGTGCAGTAAGGTGTCACAAGACCATTACAGATGGTGGCCTTTCCTTTTTCAGTTGTTTTTAGTTTGCCCACAGGACAGTTTTCCACTTGATCTCAGTCCATTTTAAATGAGCTTGGACTCAGACAAAGCAAATGCGATTCTGAATCTTTTTCAAGTTCTTTCCTTGCCTGGTAGAATTTAAACTTGCATTTGAAGTGCCATCTAAACACTGGATTTGCTCACATTGTCTTTCGGAAATTCCAAATTCCCACTATAAAACTGGGTCTGTTTTTAATGTTAACGGTCCAAAGAACACAGACACTTAATATTGGTTTTTGGCCTTGCCCCATACAAACAGACATCTCCCCAGAGTGCTTTTTAATGATACTAAGTCCTGCGGTCTTTCACAGACCGGGGACTTATTTTAGTCATGTTGCTAATTAACATCATTAGTCGTGATTTCCCAAGAGTTGTTTTGTTTCTTTGTCTGTTTTGTTTTACATTGCACAGCATGTCACTAAAAGGTTGGGACAGGTACAACAAAAACTAAATATTTTCCTGGAATCCTTTTCAATACAAAATTATATTTTTCAAAATACGATCAAAATCCAATAATCTACTATTTTCAGTAAATTCATCCAAACGTTTTTGGAAACAGGGTTGTAAAAACCATTGTGTGACCCAAATTGATCACGTCTTTTGTCCAGTAATCTGAAACTAGCTTTTCTCCTCTATAATGTACACAATATGAATACCTCAGCAGGGAGTTTATGACAGCAGTACTCTTTGTTAATGTGCCTAATGTGTACCTGTAGGCATTGGACCGGTCCACATGAACGAGGTGGAGTGCTCCGGTTTCGAAAAGTCTCTGACCGAGTGCTACTTCAACCCTAACTCTTTGGGCTGCAGCCATGAGGAAGATGCAGCAGTCAAATGTAATGTTCCTGCCATGGGCTTCCACAATAGAGTGAGTAAACTCTGTCTACCATATAGAACAAAAAACTGTGTGTGTGTAACAGTTCAGGAGATGCCTAAATGTATATATCCCTTCCCTCAGCTTCGGTTAAGTGGCGGCCGTAACCCATATGAGGGCCGTGTGGAGGTCCTGGGGGAGAGAAATGGCTCTTTGGTGTGGGGCACGGTGTGCAGTGACAGCTGGGGGACTATGGAGGCCATGGTAGTGTGCAGACAGCTGGGCTTGGGCTTTGCCAGCAATGCTTTTCAGGTAAGGTTTTCCTTTAAGCCCTCTTACATCCAATAGTTTTTAAAATGAGCTTATCTTTGCAGCACAGACTTTCAGCATGCTCAAAGTCAGTGAATACCATTAACTCTCACTTTAATAAGCTTGAGCTTTATTGATCCCTGAGGGCAAAAGAAAGACATCACTTCCTTACAAACATCAAATGCACACAGTGAGCACAGGAGGGCAGGGAAGCGGTGAGAAGGAGCTTGATTTATTTTGTTTGAAGTTTAGTGGACGCTCCACCAGTAAAGCCCCTGGCATTACTTCCTAGCGTTACTCTTGTCCTGCTTACGTTTCCTTCTTGATTTTTAAAGAAGACCCCAAACTCCCTTTACAATATGATGTGAGAGATGTGTTAAGACCTCTCTTAGGTTTTTTATTTTTCTGTTTAAAAGCATTTTGCATTTGTGGTTTCAAATCTTCTGGAAAGTATGTGTGTGAATCATGGGGAGGTGCATTTATAGCAGCAGGGGGGCTATCTGACTAAAGTGTGCCTATCTATGCCAAGTCATCTAGTCCAGTCCAGGCATTATAACAACATGTCCCCTTTATTACCGAAAGCTGTAAGTTATCATTACGTAAGGGTTATTGTGTTAAGAGTAATAGATGACTAACTCTTTGCTATCACAGAGCAGGACCTCTGGCCCTCTAGAGCCTCTTTCCTGTCTGACTTTTAACTGCTTCTCCAGGCAAACCCCACCACCAGATGGAAAGAATGACACTGAGCTTACAGCTATACAGCTTTATGTCTGTCCTTCTCCTCAGCCCACCAGCAAATACTCCCACATCCATATCCCTCAGCTTAATTTACTTCTCATGACTCCTCCACTTCCTGGGTAGATGATGGAAAGTATGAGTTTTCCTAACAGAAGGTTTTCCCTGTGGTCTGCAAAATGTTGTAATAAGGCTGAGTCAGGCGTGAGAGGATAAGAGAGCATCTCTCCCTGTGTGGGTACTAGATACTTTGATTAGACTACATTTAGCTTGTGGGACACCTGGTATGGCAAGTCTGAAAATTAAATACAGGAGGACAAATAACATTATGTTGTTTCCACAACACTTTGAGGAGGCTGATCTGTTTGATTGCAGCTAACAGAAAGAAGTGAGCCTAGCTGTATATGCATAGCTTAGCAGCAGTAAGTTTTGTATAGATTAAACAAACATACAGGACTGTAGTTAGATCCAGGACTGTAGTAGATATGTTGCTGGAGAGTTTTGTTATAGCCAAGCTCTGTTTTTGAACTTTTTAACAGTAACACAGGGGTATCAAGCTTTGCATCAGTCTTGATGCTGTGTAGTGTATAATGTGTTTCCTGTGCTTCTCTTATAACAGGAAACATGGTACTGGCAAGGAGACTCATCAGCTGATGCTGTGGTGATGAGCGGGGTGAGGTGTTCAGGAACTGAGCTGACTCTGGAGCAGTGCCTGCATCACGGGAAACATGTTGTCTGTCCCAAAGGAGGTGGACGCTTTGCTGCTGGGGTCTCTTGTACAATGAGTAAGAAATTGCAGAAAACCATAACATATATATTTAGAACCTTACATGGGTTAGAAGCTATGTTTCTAAAGTATTTATTGTGGAAATTGAAAAATAGTTTGAGGACATTGGTATAATACATGCTGACTGAGGGTTGTGACTGGGTCACTTAAAAAGAATGAAACACTTGTAGTTTTGTAGCTGTTCAATATAAATGTAATAAAAGTTTCAGTGTAAGTTTCTGTGCACCCTCATGCTCTAAATCAGCACGATTCCTTGTTGCTCGCAGCGGCCCCTGACTTGGTCCTGAATGCTCAGGTTGTGGAGCAGACCACGTATCTGGAGGACAGACCCATGTATGCTCTGCAGTGTGCCCATGAAGAGCGTTGTCTGTCCGGCAGTGCTGACAAAGCTGACCCTAGCTCCTACCGCCGCCTTCTTCGCTTCTCCTCCCAGATCCACAACAATGGCCAGTCAGACTTCAGACCGCGGGCATCACCTCAGTCGTGGGTCTGGCACGACTGTCACAGGTGACGCATCTGGAACAGATATGTGCAAACGGAAAACTTTTTGCTTTTTCCTGTAAAAATTCAGAGGAAGCCAAACTTATCTGACAGGAAAGCTACTAGATAAAAGTGTAAATGTTACAAACATTTATATTAGTGTGAAATTATTATTTTATTTTTTTTATAATCAAGGCATTACCACAGTATGGAAGTTTTCACCCACTATGACTTGATGAGTCTGAACGGCACTAAAGTGGCAGAGGGCCACAAGGCCAGCTTCTGTCTTGAAGACACCTATTGTGATGAGGGTAAATACAGACACTCCTTATATTAGCAAATTATACATTCAAATACAATAATATTAGTAATCTATTGTATGTTGTTTAATTAATGAAAGAAATGAGCTTACTGGGCTGTATAAGCGTGACCTCATCACAAAATTTGAAACCTTTTCCTAATCCAGGAATTCAAAAGAGGTACGAGTGTGCAAATTTCGGTGCACAGGGCATCACTGTTGGCTGCTGGGATACCTACAGGCATGACATTGACTGCCAGTGGATCGACATCACAGACGTGAAGCCCGGCGACTACATCTTGCAGGTAAAACGTCTGCTGTGGTTGTCTGGTTGTAGTCCACACGGCACATCTGCTGCTGGAAAGATGTCTCATCTCCAGCCAGCAGAGTCTGCTAGATCAAACAGGCACGAACAGTTTCCACAGCTCTGCATCTGCCTGTTTCTGGCTGTAAGCCCAAGGAGCCTCTGATTGCTGTTCTAAACCAAATGAGCAGGAGTTGGTTAAAGTCAAACTTTTATATTAGAACAAATTTAGCCCAGCATAGATTTATAGTATCTAAGATGAAGGATGAACTCTTTCAGTCTCTTTTGTGCATTATCAGTCATTCTATTATCATCTTATTTTATTGCTGATCTTTACACTTGTGTTATTTGGTTCTCATAAAAACTAATTAAAGACTTGAAATGTGTCAAGAGAAATGCTTTAACAACCATTGTTTTTCCTTCTTCCAGGTTGTAATTAACCCAAACTATGAGGTCGCGGAATCAGATTACACTAACAACATAATGAAGTGCCGCTCCCGATACGATGGGCATCGGATGTGGACATATAACTGTCATACAGGTAAAAGGGATCTTTTTACCCTCTGCATTAAAGACGAAATATTCTTCAGTAAAAAAAAATAGTGGTGCTTGGGACTGTACTTTAGAAAGGTCTACATTTAAACAAACTCAGTTTAATACTGAGGTTTTCAGCCGCAAAGAGTCTGCACCTGAATAGTCTGAGCGTTAAATGCTAACTCCCCTTCTCCTAACCTTATTTGACCATTTATAAAAATAACTGTTCTACTGTATCTGTGTGATGTTTAAGTGCCCAGTTCACAGCAGCATAGTCAGCAGTTTTAACTTTGGGATCGTGCAGGACAGGTCTACATAATAAAAACTTTTCTTATGTCATATAAAATATGACATTAAAACTTGTAGTTTTCCTGTTTTCACAGAATTGTGCAGAATCGTCTTTAGCACCGAAACTATTCAATAGATTTAGATTTAATTGACTCACAGGCACAGAGGATGATTTCAGAGGAAGCCTCCTTTTTATGTAGAACCTTTACTAAATACAAACTTTGACAGTTTCTCAATGACATTTTGATATTTTACAAACAGGAGATGTTTGATGAGACATCAGTGACAAAAATGGCATTAAAACAAGCCAACATAACATTAGAGGAACAGGTAACACTGAACGTGTCAAAGCTCCCTACCAAAGCTTCCTGTAATGTGAAGAACTTTATACTTTAAGTATTTGTGTGTTAATTACACAGGTAACAATCTATTATTATACAACTTTAAAAAAAAGTGTTTTTAAAACAGAAACGGAAACTTAAAATCTTAGAATTAAAAAAACAAATAGTGTTTTATCTTATTTATGAAATCTGTTTGTTAGCGGATCTGCATTACTCTTATACACAATGTACTTTTCTGACCAAATCCTGAGATACTTCAAATGAAGTTAAAAAGGAATGAATACTTCTGTAGAATTACACAACAAAATCATCACCTGCATCAGCAGAGCGAGAACAGGGGAAAAAAAACACACCCATCCATCCATGGATCCTTCCAATTAATCTGAAACAAAAAAAAAAAAACCTGCCTGGAAATCAAACACCCTTGAAAGAAATTTCAGGTTCTGAGTCAGCATGCAATAAAATCAAAATATGCCTCCCATCTGAAATCACTATGATAATTGCATTATTAGTCAGGCTAACAGTGAAAAAGAGGCACCACCGCAGTAATGTACAAAGGTCAGAGGTCAGCTTCAAATACAGCACAGCAGCTCCTGCTCAAAGATCATTCATGATGGATGATGATGATGGCGGCATGGGCATTAAACTCTCAGGCCTCTTCTTAACTGTGCCTGCTGTGCTGATCAGTGAGGGTGAGCAGTCATCACTCAGCATGGTCACTGATTCAAACATGGCCACTTTGAGTCTCTTCAGAGAAAGGAAAGGAAGTGAAAGGAGGGCAGACCTCTGCTGGACCTTTTTGTAGAAATACAAAAGGACAAAGTCTGCCTTTAGACAAAAGTTTTACTAATTTAGTGTAAAAAAAAAAAATCACAAACTGGATTTTTTTTTTATAGCTGTGCTATCACTTTATCATCACATTACATCACCGTTCATGAACAAATGGTGCACTTTTATCCATTTTAAAGCAATTTTTACTGTCTTTAATTAACATTCATCTGTTTACCCGGGAGCTTTATAAAGGGTTTAATAAGGAGATCTTTAACTAGAACATTTGGCTTTTGTTGCTAATCTCTTCACTGTCCTCTTCCTGTCTGACTTAACAGGTGGCACACTGAGTTCAGAAACGGAGGAAACGTTTCCTGGATTGCTTACCAACCAGCTTTCTCACAGGTAGACCTGAGAAGGACAGGTCAGCATTGGTGGATGGGGGGGTGCAGACTAATATTTGACAACCACTAGAGGGGGGCCTGGGCAGATGTGCTTCCTTGGAGCAGTGCTGGATTGTTGTGAGCTCTGGGCTCATCTGGTACAATAAACAATGACTCAATGGGAAAATGAAATGCTTGCTTACTAAACCATTAACTGCATTCAGATGTTCAAAAAGTGTTAGTACAGTGTAGATTTGATCTGATGTTTATTTACCAGGAGAGATGCCATGAGGATTGTAGCCAGGTAACTCGTTAAATAACCCATGCCAACGAGGGCCGCCTGCGTAAAAGTTTCCAGTGTTTGGGAGAACATTTTAAACCAAAGAAAAATCACGACATGAGAGACCACGACTCTTGGACTGAGCTCTGTTTGAACGGGTGAAAATAGTGTTGTGCTTAATCTGGTGCTACAGCCTGTACTGTTGCCTCGCAGCTGAACCGAGAGACATTTGCCTCAACAGTAAATAGTTAAAGGAATTACTGACTCAAAACTGTGAGCAGTTTTAATAATAATACATTACATGACTATGATTATCTCTGCAGAGCAATGTGCTACAATCTGTGGATACAGCATGTCTGATAAGTAACTCCTGCTCTCAGAGGGATTCATTATAACAAACTGAAAACAGGATTCATTTTAAAATTTCTATTAGAGCCTCCGTGCACTTAATGTACCAACATCTTGCAAAGAGCCTTTCACATACTTGACACATACATTTCTGAAAATATTTTTAATTTATTCACACCACACACACATTTTCATCTTCTTGTTCTGCACATCCTCTCCCTTTCTTTATCGGTGTCTGAGTTGTGTTAAATTATTACCATCAGGGAATTTGATTACATTGTGGAAGTGCTGTAACAACCACACATGTATGTGAAAATGCCTCTTCGTGGTTTTGTACATTTTGTTTTTCTAAATGTGGCAATTCAAGGATACTTGTTGGTTGCTGTCTGTTTTTATTTTGTATGCATGGATGAATGTGGGAAAGCATTACGTTTTCAATAAAATGAAATGCTTGACAAGCAACAAGTGCTTCTGTGTCATAAAAATATTTCCAACATGTGAGCTGCGGGAACCTAAAACCTAACCTGTCGCTGTTATTAACGCGCTCACCTGTAGTGGATGTTGGCACTCCTCAATATCGCTGCACTCTGCCTCGCCCCTGAATGCCCAAGGCTCTGGTTACCATCCGCCTAGCAACAGCACAGTCTGTCCTCGGACGTTCCTTCACTGGCTGGATGAACTCTGGAAGGAGGCACATAAACAACCATATTGTTAAAAAAAAAATAAAAACGCCATATTATACATTATATATCGCTGCTATGGATCTCCCACCTGCTCGTCTGATGGCCTTGCCTTGAGCTTTTTTACTCCCATCAGCCAGTGCTCGCGCCTTTAGCAGTGGGTGGCAGATAGAGAGAGCATGGAGTGCTGTAAGAAGACACATTTCTTTTTTTATTCACATCATAAGCTTTAAACCTCAAACCCAACATCTCATTCATCGTGCAGTCAAAGCACTCACCTGCTGACTCGCTGGAAAAAATCCCTAAAGCGTGTGTGTTGTCCACCCACTTGATCTTCATTCCACCATCACTGAGGCAGACAGAGAGCACTTTAAGCAATTTTGTGGCCACATCAGTCGGTTGAGGGTGAGATATTTTCTGGATTTACATCAGACGGTTTCAACGAAAACTGAGATAGCTAAAGTAATATATACCTGTGTAATTGTACCATATTAAGGTTCAGTTTTTAGTGACATTTTTAGAATATATACATTCATGTACGTTTCATATTAAAGGTGACAGTTGAAAGCATTGACAGATTTGTTGTGTACAATGAATTATATATGGTTATATATGGTTTCACAGCAGAACACTCTAGACAAAGGGTGTCAAACATAAGGTCTGGGGGCCAGGATCAGCCAATCTGGCCTAGCAATCTTGGACAGCTTTGGAAAATGGGAAGAAGGACGTAAATTTTAGACATTTAACTGTGTTTTCACATGTTTTATAGCTTTTCCCACTGATAAAGACCTCATGCATGACCATTCATACTATACCAAAGTAAATAACTAATAGACAAACCATTGAATAACAGAAATGTCCAGTTTTTTTCACTATCAACTGTGGAAATTTATGGGTTTTATAGCAGGTTCAAAGGGTTTTTGTTTTGTTTTTTTTAAAAAGAGGACATTCTGTAACAAAAATGATCATTTTCATTTCATTTCATTTGAATTAAAAGGCCGTCTGCACACCTAACAGAACTTTTTCTGTAACATTCATACATATTTATTTTTTACACTTTTTGCCCAAAGCAGCATTTCTTTATCATGCAGAAAAACTGAGATGTGTTGTTGAAATTATATTTCCTTTTTTTTTTAATATTAAAATATCTGAGGGATTAAATGTGTCATTAAACTCCTTTCACAAAGAGAACTTTCACTGGTACGTGGGCCACATTGTAAAATAAAATATGACTGGAAACAAAGGGACAGAGCAGTGAACAGGTGTGTCATCTCTCACCTGTACTCTGAGAAAGCATCAAGAAGGTCGTCGGTCTTGAACATAACCGGGAAGTCATAGATCTCAATCACGTGGCGAAAGTCGTCTGAGTCGATGGAAACATTCTCATACATAGAGTAGTCATTGTGGACGTGCTCAATGGCAACAGAGACTCCTTCTTTTAGATGTGCCTTGATCTAAAATAAGAAACACATATATGTAATGTTACCATTATATTTAAGTTTCTGAAATGCACAGATTAATCCAAAAGGCAGCAAGTACAGCAACACTAAAAGACTGTATGCATACATCCACACCATGAAATTAAGTCTGTGAGAACTGACCTCTGCAGTTACACCATCTTTGTCTGTGCTTGCGTCTTCTGTCTGGAGACTGCGTGACACACTTGCAGTCTCGTCCTTCTCCTTCTCATCCTCCTCCACAGTCAGTTCAGCAAACTGGGACTGAGTCTGTTCCAAGACTGAAGCTTCATCTTCATCCAGCCTGAGCACCAACTTTTCTTCTTCATGAGGACACATTGCTGAACTGTCTGCAGACAGTTTAGGGACTCTGTCTGCTACACTGGGGAATGATTCCTGTTTAGATAGTGAGTGCTTTGTGTTTTCTATAGATTCAGGACAAGTACAAGAGTCAGACAAACTGTTGACAGAGCTTCTATCAACACAAGCTGAACTCAATGACTCAGAGCCAGCTGTGGAGCCTTGTGAGTTTCGTAACGACAGCCTCTCTCGAGCGGCTCGTGGCATGTAGAGGGGCTTGTCGGGCCTCTTAGGTGCTCGGCTTCGTGGTGGGATTGAAGGTTTAGGCTTGATATTGCGTTCCCTCTCTTCCCTAATACTTAGGGGCTCTTCACACAAGCTGCTGTTGCTCTCCAAGTCGCTGTCTTCCTCTACCTCACTCCTACAGAAACATTTTTTCTTAAAGTTAATAATCGTCTTTTTCAAAAATGCATAAGACATACAGACCAAAGTTTGGCCAACAAACCTGAGCTCACAAGGGCAGACCACCACCCTACGGCACCAGCTCTCCCCTACTGAGAAGGTGGTGAGCTCTGGCAGGTCTTCTATGATTTTGTGAATCAGGTATCGCAGTCTGCTGGGTAAGGGAGGAAACAGCAGCACACTGGACAGGGACACACAAGGCAGCAGACATTATTTGATCAAGTAAACACAGCAGCATTTTTATTCACATAGTTCTTGGAGCGATTAGGCTTAAAGATCACAGTACACATTAAAGATGTGTTATAAACAAACACACAAAACATACATTTCAAACACAATCACAGAAAACTCCAAAGTAAACTGTTAACATAAAAATCTGAAAGAACTTTGCAATTCAATATTTGGTTAAACAGTTTTTATTAGACCCATTAACAGGCTCATTATAGTTTGGGGACTTAGAATAATGCTTTCATGATGACTAGACATTTTTCTCATAGCTGCAGTGCCTTTTTTTTAATATTGCCTCTATGAACCAAAGTTCAACCCCATAATAATGGCTAAAACTGATTTTATGCTGAGCTCCCATACTATTCTGGCATTTCAGGAGCACTAAAATTGAGTTTTGGAAATTCTATGGACTCAGATTGTTTGGAAACACCAGGATTGGGGGGCTAGCATGGCGACAGGACAGGAAAAATGCACACTGCATGTTCTCTCTGTGTTTGTATAGGTGTATTTAAGCTTTCACCCAGAGCCTAACGGTATACATGCTGTGTTAATGAATGGTTCTAAATTGGCCTTAAGTTTGAATAGTTGTCTGTCTCTATGCACGACCAATGTATTAGACTGGCAACACATCAACAGTGCACCTCGCCCAGTGGAAGGTGGATAAAGCTCCAGTTCACCCCATAACCCTAAATTGAAACACTACTTGACAGTTTGGACATGCAGACGCTGACATCTTTTGGAAAGAATCAGTTCTCCAGAAAATAGTGTCACCATTCCAGGAAGATCCCTCGGATTTCTGTGCACAGACACTAAGAGGGTCTCAAGTTTTTCTAATGACTTTGGGTTTCCCCGATGAACAACGGTACTGAATACAGATTCCCATATGTAACTTTATTCCTTGACTTTTATTGATATAATTAATTATTGTTTTATAACTACAATTATATTTATGTATAAGCGTCAATATCTGATTGTAAAGCAGAGCACCTAATAGTACTTGACCTTATTTCAAATAACCAAATAGACTAAGCTACGTTTTAATTTTGTTTTTATATTTATCATTTATTCTCAGATTGGCAGACAACACTGAGGCTGCAGCTGAAAAAATAAAAACTGAATTTTAAGCTTGAATTATCAAACTACTTGATTTTAATGCATCAGATTCTTCCATGTTTTAATGACAGAGTTCTGTTCTGAGGTCTGTTAACTTAGATTCAGCATTTTTGCTCACTTATTTTCTTGGCCTCAAATAGGCCAAACTTATTAACACAGTAACTTTTTCCCAGTCTCACTGACCAAAGCGCTACATGTTTAATAGTTTAATCTTGATTTGGAAAATCAGCCCTTCTGTGGCCAGTACAGTTATCAGTAAATGTGCACGCACAGGGTAAACTCTGCGTTAACTCAGCAGGCTGCTAACCATCTTCGTGTGATCACATCCTGACTGCCAGTGCTAGGGTAAGTGATTCTGAACTCACTTTGTGTTTGTGTCTAGGCTCAAGTGCATGAGTGAAAATGGTTACAGTAATGTAGCTCAGTAAAGAAAGAGAATTAAAAAATGTATTAAAAAATTGAGGTTCAAGCAAATCGAGACAACTGGCTTCCGTGGTAGAAAATCTGAATATGATACCCAGTATTCTACATTGTTGTTTTTTTTTTATTTCTGATCTGATATTTTGATTTCCCGTGCCTGTGTTTATTATCTCCTTAATGAAACAAAAGGCACAGTGAAAATCAGGCATGACTGTCTGTTTCTATCCTATTCGTTTTCTTTAGAATGTAGGAAACCGGAGTTTCAACACATGTGCCATTTGTTTACACAGTGTTAACCTGTGTATGTTTACTAAACAGGTTCACTAATAAATCACTATAACCGAGAAGGAAGTGATCACTTCATGTGATGAAACTGCTCGGGTTGCTCCATCTTTCTTAACTTTACCTGTTGTGGCTGTTTTTCTGTTGGTATGTTTCCAGCTCATCCAGGACATGATGCAAGAAGTTGTTTTCTTGTTTTGGGAGATACACTCCATCGAAACAGGGGAACGCCAGGGTGGACGGAGAAAGAAAGTCGGGTCCTGCTGACAACAGGGTGAAGTGAGCTTCCTCGCTCGTCCTAATTAAAAATCAAAATGAAAAGTGACAGTGATCACCACTGCTAGCCAGCAACATAACTTGAACAAGGCAATATTAAGCGTTTGCTAATGCCAAACAAACACGTAAAACTAGCTGCATCTTCGGTGTTTACATGTGCAATTAAAAGTTAAACCAAAGCTAGCTTTCTTTGCTTAACATTAATTCATGAGTGGTGCTAATGTTAACCGCCTTTCTAGCTATGGTTAATAACTGTGAATATTAAATCGAATACTCTTACAGCTGAGGCTGAAGCGTACAGTATTGATTTGTTGTAGTTTCAGCACGATGGAGAGCTCGAACAAGGGAAAGCGCCTACAAATAAAAGTCGCAGGGTAGCTAGTATCCTTTGGCTTCCGGAAACAAACGTTGACTTGGGTCAGACCAACGCAGCAAGACTTCCGCTCTGACTACTTCAAAATAAAAGTTTTCATATTTATCGTGAGTGAAATGTGTCAAACACAAAATATCACATCTCATTCTCTTTTAAAAGAAAAATGTGTAATAAATGCGTACTCTGAAATTAATCAACAGCAGCCCAACAGTTTTCAGGAAATTATTATTTATTTAGATAAACCATAATAATTGTAAGAAAAGTAGACCAGTTGTCCGAACACCATATACAGCAATCACGGACTGTTTGGTGATTGTGAACAAGGGGATGTTGTTTGCAACATTGCAGGAAGTTTGACAAATATGTAGGGCTGATGAGCACGATTCAGGAAGATTTTAGTGAAGGAGAAGGACATGTTACTATTGAAGTGATCTTATTAAAAAGGTAAACATGCTCCATCTTGGAAGTCACCCAACTTCAGCTCACAAATCCCAATAATATGCAAGTGTGAAAAAGACATGATCTGCTCCAGCACAAGAAAAAAGGTGACATTTATACACGGATAGAACATCTGCATCATCAATGCCAACAACCGTAATGTGGCTAAACACATTGTGTGGAGAACTACCCAAAACCATACCAACAACTCCATCCCAACCTGTTTCTACAGCAGTAATGTTTTTTGAGGGTTTTTTTTTTTTTTTTACTTTATGTCTTTTATAAAGCACACAAGTCAAATCACACAAAACTACCATAATCAAAAATGGCATTTAACACAATGGCACAATTCATAGAGACTGGTCTTTATCAACTAAGGTCATGATGAGTATAAAAAGACATGAAGACATTTATAAACATATAAGGTTAGGCAGAAAGTAGAGCACTTATAAATAACAGGGGGGGAAAAAGAGGATCAGATCAAAATCCTATACAACATTTAGGTGAAGCGGGACTCTGATTATGTGCTGTCAGAAAGATAAGGAGTCTTCAACCTACAGAGTAGAGCAATAGAGAGAGAGGGAGAGAGAGAACCCTGTTACAACTGAAAGTAAATCACATTTCTAGTGTTGTCTTGGCTTATTTTATATTATGCAGTTGAATTATAAAGATTTCCTTAACAATAGAAATGAACAACACAGTGGAGGGAAGTCAAATCTTTATCAAAGCTGCACCTGAATGGATTCTTTTATCTTCCAGAGCCAATACTTCTGTCTTCAAAGATGGTAATTTCAACCTTGAAGAGAACAAGTTAAGGCCAATACAAAGTGCTATGTGATCAACAAAAATAATCTGTGTTTAGGAGGGGGGCAAAAAACAAAAATGCATAAAATATACTCAGATTTCTTTTTGCAATGTTTCTGAAACAACTGCCACAAATATCAGTACTTTTATTAAAATCTACAGGTTGTAGACACTGATTTTACTTTTACTTATATTTATTTTTCCAACATTTCTCAATTCATTCAATATACAACACAATTTAACCAGATTCACTGCCACATGACTCCAGCTTACAATTCTCACATGATTCTTAAAAAAGGGTAGAGTAACTGAAGATAATCCACCTTTGTCTATAGAACAAAAGCATACTTAACTACTGTAGAGATATAAAATGAAATCAATAAAGTCAATAAACATTTATATTTGACTTAATGTGTAACTCAGGTGCTCACAAAGTGACAGAAATACGCTGTTTGAGTATATAGGTATAAATAGACCAAGGGTTGGTGGTTTGTGGGGCATGATGACTGTTGTTATAACAGAACTTAGCTCTAGTAAGCATGCAGCTGAATTAAGGATACAACTCGGAGGCCTCTCTCTATGGGGTCAGTCAGCAGCAAGCCTCTGGGAGCATAGATCTTCTCATTCTGGTCCTTAATGTATCTGGCAATCTTCTTTAACACCTGAGCACAGAAAGAGGGCGATGTAAGAGTCATTCCATCTTTTTTTTTTTTCTTTTTTTTTTTAACAGTCACTCTGTAAGTGTGCACGTTGCCCTAGAGAAGTCATTTAATTCAGGTTAAGTTTAAAATACACTAAGAAGCAGTTATCAGGGTTAGGTTTGGGTTAGAGGCATTTAAGGTCAGGGTCTTTAATCGGACTACCCAGTGCGTGTAGACACAACAACCAGTCGCGTGAGACAAGCTATTAATGCCCTCTTATTTGTGTTGCTAAATTTATTTTCATGCACAAGAAAAATTACATCTGTACTTGTGAAGTTGTTAAACCTCTTAGTACATTTTAAACACAACCTATATTATAAAACTACTCCAAGACAGTTGGCCTTTGGAGGGGGGAGGGGGGAATGAAAACTTGGGTTCATTATTTTAAAAGATAATATTCTGAGATATTCATGCCTCAAAAATTGAAATGTGGACAGAACGTTTTTCAAATAGTTCTATTTGATATATGAAGGTAAAATCTCACAGAAATCACTATATACATATATATACATTGTCATGCCTTGAAACATACAATTCAAAAAATAATGCTATGGTTCAGCAGAAGTTCCACAATGATTTGAGGTACAGTGACCCATAACATAAGACTCTGATGTGAACCCTTTTTTTTGTTTTACCTTTTCATAATGTGTTTCCATGCAGAGGAAGATGGTGTAGGCCGTTAGGCAAGCCAGACAGCCCTCCAGGTAGGACTTCCCCCCGAGTTTTTCTGCTTCTGCATACAGGTTGTTTAGCGTCTGAATGGTCTCCTCAAACTGCTGCTTATCGATCTGAAACCACAGGAGCAGTTTTAAAAACATAAACTTAAAGCAGTGAGGAAACAACCATGGCATGGAGGTTAACTCTGTACATACCCTTGACTCAAGCTCTGAGGGGAACTTGGTCTGGAACTTGCATATGGTGCCTGAGCTGTAGTCTCTTTGGATGAACACCTTGGAGGACACAGCTGGTTGCTGGAGGTCCTGTAAGCTGTGGGTCTACACAAAGAATTTACTCTTATGCATATTAATTTAATGAGCAGAATGGTTGGAAAAGCAAGCATCTGTTGTAAGCTAACAACACCTAAACTCTGTTTACCCGAACAGAGTTTAGATACTAATATCCAACGTTAACCAAACACACACTACATTACATAACCTAAAAGCAAACAGTCATCGTAACAGCTGGCTTTTTTTATGACCCTATGATGAAAATAACTATTTATAATGTTGGAAATTGTCAAAAACTACACTTCAAACCAACACCCGCTTCGGTTATGGGCTAATGTTAGCTTAAAAAATATTAGCTTGCGCTGACGACCAATACCGTCGCTAGAAAATATGGCAATCTAAGCTTTAATCATTACCCAAAGCAACAAACCTCACCAAACGTGTAAATCCGATTAAAGATTAATCTAACGCAGTATTTTCAGATCAAATAAGTCAAAAACACTTACCTCAGCCATAGCAGAGGTTCGCCCCACTAGCTGAATGCGCGTCTATTTCTTTCCAGCCACGCCAAAGCAATGCAACTTCCGGCCCAAAGCTTTCAAAATAAAATGAGATGAGTATTTACTGGAAAAATGTTGTGACGACAGTAATTTTTAAGTTTATTTCTTTGACAATTGCATTACCCTCTGGAGTCCGGATTTTTTTTTATTAAATTGTAGAGGGTGGTGTAGATTTCATTTCAAGAATTTCTGAACTGGCAACAGTAAATCATTCCAAAGACGTATTGCAGATGACATGCTGTCAAACGGATGTACAAGGCAGTAATTTAGTTTTAACCTCGAAATGCAAGTGAACGCACAACATTTACACTTAGTATTATGGGTTTCAAACTAATAAATGCGTTGGAGTTGCTATTTTCTCAATGTAACAATTCTAATGTAAACATGAAACGACACATCTCAAACATTTTATTCCGAAATACGACACGCCCAAACAGGAAATGTTGTCAGATGAGCTTCCGGCAGAAAGTCGACGTTGCCGGAGGCCTCCAGACATTTGGAACCGGTTGTATGACCCGTTAGGAATTAGTGCTCAATTTCTGCAGTGCGCCAATTCTGGATGTATGAGCTTTTACAGTTCAAGTTGTCACGATGACTACACGTCTACAGTCCATTTGCTTTTGAAATGTTCTTATGAAAGGACTCACTCCCCTTGTTATATCTTTCCATTTCAACTACAAAGTGTCATTTTCAACCACAAAGACTACTACAATCTCCTTTTAGTTGTACTAATAAAGAGACAACACCAGCACATGGATCTTGCATTATTTATTGAATCATGTTCTTATTAGATGTGGTTCTGTTCGCTGTATTTTATTCGTCGAACAAACCGAAGCCCATCTCGCCATCCGATTCCTCAGACTCCTCCTTGGCCTCCTCCTTAGCAGCAGCAGCTGGAGCTGCGGCAGTCTCAGCAGCTGCTGCAGGTGCTGCGACAGCAAATGCAGATGGGTCAGCCAGGAAGGCTTTGACCTGTGAGGGTGAAGGATGTCATTAGTTCTCTGTTAATGCAAAACTTCACTTTCAAGTCCAAGTCAAGTATCGTGTGTTAACACTGAGAATGGCAAGAGCTGTATGAAAAATGTAAAAACCATACTTTGTCTGCCAGGGGGAAGGAGTAGTCCGTCTCCACAGCAACAGCCAGGACTCTCTTGTAGCCATTGATGACGGAGTGGGGGACAGAAGCCAAAGTGGGGTAGCCAATCTCCAGACACACACTAGCAATATTCCTCACACCCTAAGAGGCCAAAATAACATTTGAGAAACTGAAAATTCAGATACAACTCATGCCAAATTTTTTCAGCCAATTCTCACCTCCAGGAACCTGGCATGTAGAGAAGCCTCTGTGATGTCGAGCACCTCTGGGCTGTAAACACTGCCATTGTCATAAACCTGCTGGATGATGAGTCCATAGGAGAACGGAGAGATGTTCAGCATGTTTAGCAGTGTGGCCTCGCTGGCACCAACCTTGTCTCCAGTCTTGATCAGACCGACATCGCTCTGGCGGACAAAGACATACAGAGTGATTAGCGGAAGCAGAGATTTTCAAATCTTACCCTTTTTAAAGTACACATTAGCATTGTGAGTAATACCTGTGTGTAAAACAGTTTCTTCAACAGTATAATTATCAAACTCACCAAGATTTCAATGGTTCCCCTGGAGATTTTGGTGGTGATACCCAGAGCCTGGAAGAAAGAGGTCTTCTCAGGACCAAGACCAGTATTCTGGGCCGGCACTGTCACATCACAAGGGGCGATGGCTCCAGCACGAGCAGCTGCAGGTACCTGGGATACAAGAGAGGGTAACCCTTAATAGACCACTCTGCTAGAACCAAATCTTTAAGATCTTAACTACTCAGGTTATGGTGTCTGAAACCTTACGTTCCTGGCAGCCAAATGATACAGGCAGACAGGTATAGCGAGGAAACAATTTACTGTTTGCAGGGGGAACGACAATGCAGTACTGCAAAAGCTGCATTGTAACTTATCCTGCACTTTGACAAGATCTAAATTATCTATAAGCTTTTTTATTAAAGGGCTCTAACCTTGTTGGCCAGCAGCAGGTCTCTGATCTCAGTCAGATCTTCCTTCGTGAAGACAAAGCCCACATTACCCTTAATGTGGGGCAGGAGCCTGTGAAATCACAGCATAAACTTAAATTACACAAGTAGATTATCATTTCTACCAACATGAGCAGTTATCAGATGTCTGAGACCTTGCGTCCCTGGCTGTCCGAGGGGTGTAGACAGACAGGGATAGCTGGAAACAAGTTAATTTTAGCAGGGGGAACGACAATACAGCACGACACAAGCTGCACCGTAACTAACCTGCTACACAGAAACTGATAATTCAATGCATCATAAACAAAGGTTGTCAGTAAACTCACTTCTCCAGTGCAGGATTGTTCTCCAGATGGCCACGGATGGCTTTGCGCATCATGGTGTTTTTACCCATCAGCACCACAGCCTTCCCACGCAGGGACAGACGGATGGTCTGCATCTGCTTGGAGCCCACATTGTCTGCTCCCACGATGAAGCATTTTGGATAGTCATCCAAAAGTTGCTGTAAATACACCACTGTGCGTCACATAAATTTCATTATGGTGTCCATGCTACAGAAACAAAGACCTAGTGCATTTATGTTAAAAGGTACTCACGATGATTTTCAAAAAATAGTTGGACTTCCACGTGGCCCTGTCTTCCCTGGGCATCTCTGCAGTGCTTCCAAGGATCGCTACACAGCTGGTTTAAAGACAAGGATGGATCTGTAAATAAAGGACGAAAAACAAGGATATTAACGGTACTTTGGAAATTGGTCAATACTTTACACTTCGGACATGTTGCCGATAGTTAAGGTTAGCCGGCTACCCTTAGCTACCCTAGCGCTCTATTAACAGGCCTCGCTTGGCTAAATGACACCTATTGAATGTTTAAAATATACAAAATATATCCCGTTAAGTGGTTTAAATGTTTATCGCACGAATACAAAACTAATATTTGGCCTAATCCTATAAAGACCGAGCATTTCGGTTTATTAACAAGCGAGGAGAAAAAAAAACGTACCTCGCAGTAGGGTCGCGTGAAAGAAAGAGGAAGAGGACAGGCGCGGGAGGGATATGTATTAAAAAAGATAACCAATCACAACTCAGCTATGGGCGTTACCTTCATAACTATTGGGTGAATTCTGTGTCAATCACTTTAAAGTCACTATTAGTACTTCCGTGGCAGCTTTCGTGCAGAAAGCGTGGTTTGTGGCACTCTACTTGAAGGAGTTCTGGGACTGCATTAGTGTGACGGTGTTATCGAGCCCGCTTAGACATCTGCCCGCAGAGCAAAGTGATGGCACAGAACCCTTCGAAGCTGCCTCCTGAGGTCTGGAATAACGTCTTTGGGTATCTGTCAACGACAGAAAAGTTAAACGTCCGGGCAACCTGCAAGTATTTCAAGACAATTGTCGATCACCGATCTCTGTGGAAAAACTGGACAGTGGTTTTGGATTTTAAAAACGGCTCATACAACAGGAAGTTCTGGGACACTCTTCGTCATAGAAAAGTCTCCAGCGCAGTGATGAAGAGCACCAAAGTGAAACACTGGAAACAGCTCGCTCTGTTCCTTCCTATCCTCACCACGGTGGTAATGGACCAAAGCTCCCAGGAGTGTTTCAGCTGCTTGAAGGACTTCCCAAATATGAGACGTCTGGTTTTAAGAAGCAGTTGCTCTGATCTTTTGTTAGACATTTCCAGATTCCCATTGTTTCTTCCCGAGAAGCTGACTTACTTAAGCATGTGTGGCGTTATGTTCCCTACCACATCAGTGAGTAAATTCATTTCTGTGCTGTCCCAGTTTAAAAACCTCGACTCTCTTATCTGTCATCAGGTGGGCATCGTTGGAGAAACGATGTGGATGTTGCACTCCACACTCGCGTGCCTGCCTAAACTGAAGCATCTCTCCTTGTCAGGTGTGCATATATTGTGTACCTATCGTCACAGTGATCCTAAGCCAAGTCCAGGTCCCTCAGGGGACGCTGGTGCACTGGCTTTGGCCAGTTTGGAGCTCATCGACTGCATGGATCCTTCATTGCCGGCGCACGGGTTGCAGTTCCTGCCTGGCCTGAAACATCTGTCTGTCTTCTTCAAGCACTCACATCACGACATTCCAGAAATGTGGTCACTGTCTCCTTGTCGCCTCAAAACATGGTTGCATGACCTACCTCAGCTCTCAACCCTGATCATCGTTAAGGGCCCCCCGGTTAATAAGTACATCACCTCCATTCCAGCCACCGTGACCAGTCTCACACTGTGTGTTGCAGGAATCACTTCAAAGGACATGGCTGCCATAGCGGTGCAGCTGCCAAATCTCCTCCACCTCCATATAGACACTTGGCCCTCACATCTGGGAACTCGCACCGCTGAAATCCCACGGCTGTTTCCAAAGCTCAAAAGTCTTAAAATCCGCCATGAACGTGTGCCGGAGCAAGATTTCTTGCAGCTTCATCACCTGCAACATCTTAGATACTTGGAGATTCTGGACAGCACTCCACAGCTGTCTGTGCTCACTGGCAAGCTTCAAGCTCTCACCGAGTTCAGACTTCAGATCAGAATCTTTCCTTACCGGAGAGATGCACTGTCATGTCCTTGTGTTTGTCACGTTTATTAACCTGGTGATCTGGTAACTTTTTATTTGAGTGGGAACACGGAAACTTGCTCATAATCGATGTTTACTGAACTTTTTGAGGTAGTTTTATTTCACCTCAGGAATCCAAAATGCCTTGCCATATTTTGGATTATTTAACTTATTCAGGGAATCAACCTCTTATAAAGGTTTGAATAAATTAAAATGTTTTTAAAGATTTTTGTCTTTTAATTATTATTTCAGCAGACATACACCTGTTTTAAGGTTGTAAGCTGAAAGGGTAGAACCAGCATAAATGTTTCCTACCAACTCTAATGATCCCTTTGATAATGTGAAATAAAAATTGTTAAACGTACACAGTGTGTGCTTGTACAATGTTGACTAAAATTTCTTCTGCATCACTCTATTTACAGTCCAACTTTAATACAGTCCTGAGTTTCTGAACAATGTACATCACTATGCAAAATTTTAAACCCACCCTCATCTTTTTTAAAAGTTACAAGGAAAATGACAATTCATTGAAACATGAAAATTCAGTTTACAAGGGTTTGTACTTTTAAGTTTAAAAAACAAACAAACAAAAAAAAACCCATAATGAGACACTATCCAAGCATGCTTTTATTGCATTAACACTGTTTTGGATCAGTTATACTGAAAATTAAAGTTGTTGCTAATCAGACACGTTCCAGGTGGTACTGCATGGATCAAAACCTAGCTGTACTTTTCTGCATTCATAATTCATCAGCTTTGAAAAGAGTCCCAACACCAAATGCAGCCCCAAATCATGATAGAGCCTCCACCATGTTTTACAGAAGGCTGTAGACCATAGGTGTCAAACTCTGGCCCGTGGGCCAAATTTGGCCCGCAGCTTAATTACATTTGGCCCGTGGAGCCATACCAAATTACTATTAGAGCTGGCCTACTGGTATTATACAGCTAATATATATATTGTTTAGTATTAAGCTTTGCTTGTTCCATATTCAGTTTTTCAGCAAAACTTGTTTGAGTCCATAAGAAAAGATTCATTCTTATATCTGAAGTTTTTTTTAAATAAATATTAACGTTAGCCCGCGACCTTGTTCCAGTTTTGAATTTTGGCCCACTGTGTATTTGAGTTTGACACCCCTGCTGTAGACACTCACTGTTGTACTTCTTTCCTTACCTCTACTGATTATTTGAACCAAAAATGTAAAATTTGGATTTATCACTCCATCAGATCAATACTGATTTACTTGCCATTTCCCTTCTTTAAGAATGGCTTCTTGACAGTCACCCTTCCACTGACACAATTTCTGATGAGACCAGCAAGACAGTTCCTAAAGATACATTAGTTTATCTATTGAGCCAGGAGCATGAATGATTCATAGCTCGGTGTTAAGTGGCTTAGCAAACAATAGAAAAAAAAGAAATAATTCCTCTGAAAATGGTCAAAGGCAAGGAGTAGACTGAGAATGAGTGGAAGAAAAAAAGCCAATGGCCAAAGTCAAACTGAAAGACCTTCAGAAATCTTGGAGAACTACTACTTTAGACAAGACTTAAAAACAAAGAAAAAACACCAGTCTGACTCCTTGAGAGCAAAATATAAAATTGAGAGTGACTCAATACTTTTGCACAGTACTGTGCACACAATGTAAAAATGAAAAAAACAAGGCCAGAAATAAATATTTAATATTTTATTTGCAGAAGAATCAGGACCCACATAGGCTTACGCCCCACCCACAAAGAGAAAAGATCACATGAAGGTCTCCATTTAAAAAGCAAAGTCGATTTAACTGCATTAACAGTAAAAAGCTTAAATTTCTCTCATGAATTCATTGAAAGAAGCAAAAACTATAAGGCAATACCTGTAAGAAGACAAATATACACGAGCAGAATTCATTTTCTTTTTATGAGGCATTCTCATTTTAACTGAAGACTCAACCCCGTAATCGAACGTCGACATTGCCCCTGCTACATCCAGTACTCTCAATCTGCTACAGGTGAACACCACAGTGTCTGCTGAATGACTCGGTACAGGAGGCTTCACCTCGGTTTGTCTGTTACAGTGTATAGTTTGGGGTTAAGATGCACCACAGCAGATGAAGCCCTCCCAGAGTTCAGCCCAAAAGGAGTCGAATCACAGGAAAAGGCTGAGAACTCCACAGTGTATAAGACCTTATTGCATTAACACATTTGGCACAAGAGATATTTTCTCAAAGTAAAAACAATCTGGATATGGATACTGTGTATTAATAGTTTTAAATTTATAGAGATTAATGTCAAAAAGAAAAAAAAACCCACAATCTTTATGTGGCAAAAAAAAGATACAATTCAAAACAAAAAAGCTGCTAAAAGTCATTAAGTGAATTTTGCTAAAGGCTTGGCCCTGGCTTGGTTTCATGTTGTGACTTCTGTCCAGCTAACGCTCACATCAAACTTCCATCTATGAGCTTTGCAGCAATATCACTCCGACAGCAGGATAACAATTCATATAAAAAAAAATACTGAAGAAAATACTGACACACTGGAATCCAAGCTGGTATACGTGCGTGTGTGTGAAGGAATGAGACCAGGGTAAACTACTGTCAGGCTACATGTCAACAGAGCCAGCTCTTTGCATATCAGGCCGAGCCTCTGCAGCTCAAAAATATATAAATTTCCATCAAAACTGTGACAAAACACAGTTGTGTCACAGACTCGAGCGTTTCACACGTATACAAATTTAGATTCTGATTGTAACAGCAACTGGCAGCTGGTGCTGATCAAACTCCACATATAGTCAGCATGCATTGAAATAAAAAGGACAAACATCTTAAATCTTTACCCCGGCCTTATTAATACGATTTAAAACAGTGATAAATGTACGTTAGTAGCAACAGCAAAATGTGTAAATGAGACATTGTTTATTTTGATTAAAATTTGCTTTCATTTATTGTGAAATCAGCTTTGTTTTGGCATTTTTTTCCTCATAAATTAAAAAAATATATAAAAATTCTCACAATGTCAGCCAAACTATTTATACCGTCCTCACTGACCCATGTTTATTTTTGTAGTCATTCGATTTCATCTGAAAGTTGTTTACGTAAAGAACACACACACACACCCAGAGGTTGCACCAGTTCCGAAAACAGATCCAATAGGATTATATTCTAATGTATATAATTAGAATATAATATATAAGTGAAATCAAATGAAATGTTTAATTTCACTTTTATTGGGAAATAATCACGCTAGAAATGTGAGCAGAAATGTGAGTAACCTATGTTTAAACTGTGAAAACACCTGGGTTCATTTCCATAGAAAAACTGTAGAAAAAACAAGAACTCATGTCAGGAGGACCAACTTAGAAAATGCACCTGAAGACGGTCTCATCAAGAGCTGCTGTTGGCGTGTGCTGAGACTGGACGAGTATTTTAAACAAGTAAAGGAGAAATGGTTCAGTGTGTGTCTCAGTGTACATATGCGCTCCATATACATATTTATGTACAAATGGGGAGTTTTCATAGTTATTTTAAATGGCACCTCAATAGTTTCCAAATCTAGAAAAATACATTTTTTTTAAACACTCGTTAGCCAAGCACTGTGCATTCAACTCTCCACATACATTTAAACTGCGCAACTCAACTCTCCGTGGTCCATGCAATCAAGCAACCGTTACATATCTGCATTAAACTAGCCAACATAGACTCGCTGCCACATGATGCAGGATGTTGTCCTGCAGCGGGGGCAGAAAATCATTTGCAAATCAGGGCTCTTATCTTGATTCTCATATGCTTACTTATGTGTACACACACACACACACACACACACACACACACACACACACACACACACACACACACACACACACACACAC